GGGTGGGTTTGTGTCATCTTATAATAGGATATCATGGGTGGCTTAGGGTGGGTTTGTGTCATGGGTGGCTTATAATAGGATATCATGGGTGATTTAAGGGTGGCTTAAGGGTCTGGGCTTATATCGTGGGTGGCTTACATACTAGGTGCCTTATATTACTTATGGGTGGCTTATTGCGTACTGGGTGGCTTTTGGGTGGCATTTCTTCCTCCTTCCGCTCCTCTCCTCCTACCTCCTTCACTCTCCTTCACCCTCTCCTTCACCCTCTCCCCCCCTCTCATCACCCCACTAACACAACTCCCCCTCCCAGGTTCGCCAGTAGCCCAGGTAAAAGCCACAGATAACGACGACCCTGACGAAGGTAAGAACGCCCGACTCGTCTACTCGTTGGAGAAGAATGTTATCGACGAGTCCTCAGGAAAACCAATTTTTGCCGTCGATAGTCAGAACGGGGTCATAACTACGGCTCTCTGTTGTCTAGATCGTGAGAAAACGCAACGCTACGCTATTCAGGTGGTGGCGACAGATGGTGGAGGTTAAGGTGAGAGAAAGTGAGAGAAAGTGAGAGAGAAAGTGAGATAGTGTGTTTTTAGTGGGTGATAGTCAGAACAGGGTCATAACTACGGCTCTCTGTTGTCTAGATCGTGAGAAAACGCAACCTACGCTATTCAGGTGGTGGCGACAGATGGTGGAGGGTTAAGGTGAGAGAGAAAGTGAGAGAGAAAGGAGAGAGAAAGTGAGATAGTGTGTTTTAGTGGGTGATAGTCAGAACGGGGTCATAACTACGGCTCTCTGTTGTCTAGATCGTGAGAGAAAACGCAACGCTACGCTATTCAGGTGGTGGCGACAGATGGTGGAGGGTTAAAAGGTGAGAGAAAGTGAGAAAGTAGAGAGAGAAAGTGAGAGAAAAGTGAGAGAGATAGTGTGTTTTAGTGGGTGATAGTCAGAACGGGGTCATAACTACGGCTCTCTGTTGTCTAGATCGTGAGAAACACCAACGCTACGCTATTCAGGTGGTGGCGACAGATGGTGGAGGTTAAAAGGTGAGAGTGAGAGAAGTGAGAGAAAGTGAGAGAAAAGTGAGATAGTGTGTTTTAGTGGGTGATAGTCAGAACGGGGTCATAACTACGGCTCTCTGTTGCCTAGATCGTGGAAAACGCAACGCTACGCTATTCAGGTGGTGGCGACAGATGGTGGAGGGTTAAAGGTGAGAGAGAGAGTGAGAGAAAGTGAGAGAGAAAGTGAGAGAGAAAAGAGTAGAATAGTGTGTTTTAGTGGGTGATAGTCAGAACGGGGGTCATAACTACGACTCTGTTGCCTAGATCGTGAGAAAACCTGCTACGCTATTCAGGTGGTCACGACAGATGGTGGAGGGTTAAAAGGTGAAGTGAGAGAAAGTAGAGAAAGTGAGAGAGAAAAGTGAGATAGTGTGTTTTTAGTGGGTGATAGTCAGAACAGGGGTCATAACTACGGCTCTCTGTTGCCTAGATCGAGAAAAACGCAACCTCGCTATTCAGGTGGTGGCGACAGATGGTGGAGGTTTAAAAGGTGAGAGAAAGTGAGAGAAAGTAGAGAGAGTGAGATAGTATGTTTTTGGTGTGATAGTCAGACAGGGTCTACTCGGCTCTCTGTTGTCTAGATCGAGAGAAAGCACAGCCTACGCTATTCAGGTGGTGACGACAGATGGTGGAGGGTTAAAAAGGTGAGAGAAAGGAGAGAAAGTGAAAAGAAGTGAGATAGTGTGTTTTTAGTGGTGATAGTGAGGGCAAAATTATAGCTCTCTGTTTAAGGAATCGTGAGAAAACGCAACGCTACGCTATTCAGGTGGTGGCAACAGATGGTGAGAGGTTAAAAAGGTGAGAGGGAAAGAAAGTGAGAGAAAGTGAGAAAAGTGAGATAGTGTGTGTTTAGTGGGTGATAGTCAGAACAGGGGTCTCTCGGCTCTCTGTTGTCTAGATCGAGAGAAAACGCAACGCTACGCTATTCAGGTGGTGGCGACAGATGGTGGAGGGTTAAAAGGTGAGAGAAGTGAGAGAGAGAGTGAGAGAAAGTGAGATAGGTGTATTTTAGTGGGTGATAGTCAGAACGGGGTCTCATATACGGCTCTGTTGTCTAGATCGGAAAAACGCAACGCTACGCTATTCAGGTGGTGGCGACAGATGGTGGAGGGTTAAAAGGTGAGAGAGAAAGAGAGTAGAGAAAAGTAGAGAGTGAGATAGTGTGTTTTTAGTGGGTGATAGTCAGAACAGGGGTCATAACTACGGCTCTCTGTTGCGTAGATCGACGAGAAAACGCAACCTACGCTATTCAGGTGGTGGCAACAGATGGTGGAGGGTTAAAAGGTGAGAGAGTGAAGTGAAAGTGAGAGAGAAAGTGAGAATGTGTGTTTAGTGGGTGATAGTCAGAACAGGGTCATAACTACGGCTCTCTGTTGTCTAGATCGAGAGAAAACGCTACGCTATTCAGGTGGTGGCAACAGATGGTGGAGGGTTAAAAGGTGAGAGAGAAATGGTGTTTTAGTGGGTGATAGTCAGAACGGGTCATCTACGGCTCTCTGTTTCTAGATCGAAAACGCAACGCTACGCTATTCGGGGTGGCGACAGAGTGGAGGAAGGTGAGAGAGTGAGAGAAGTGAGAAAGTGAGATAGTGTGTTTTAGTGGGTGATAGTCAAAACGGGGTCACTTCGGCTCTCTGTTGTGAGATCGTGAAACACAACGCTACGCTATTCAGGTGGTGGCAACAGATGGTGGAGGTTAAAAGGTGAGAGAAAGAGAGAAAGTGAGAGAGAAAGTGAGAAAATGAGATAGTGTGTTTTAGTGGGTGATAGTCAGACGGGGTCAACTTCGGCTCTCTGTTGTCTAGATCGTGAAAACACGCTTCGCTATTCTTCAGGTGGTGGCGACAGATGGTGGAGGTTTAAAAGGTGAGAAAGAAGTGAGAGAAAGTGAGAAGAGAAGAGAAAAAGTGAGATAGTGTGTTTTTTAGTGGGTGATAGTCAGAACAGTCATAATACGGCTCTCTTTTGTCTAGATCGTGAGAAAACGCAACTACGCTATTCAGGTGGTGGCGACAGTGTGGAGGTTAAAGGGAGAGAGTGAAAGTGAGAGAAGAAAGTGAGAGAGAGAAAAGGTAGAATGATGTGTGTTTTTAGTGGGTGATAGTCAGAACAGAGGGTCATAACTACGACTCTCTTGTTGCTTGATCTGTGAGAGAAAAACGTAACTACCTATTCAGGTGGTGGCGACAGATGGTGGAGGGTTAAAGGTGAAAGGTGAGAGAAAGTGAGAGAAAGTGAGAGAGAAAGTGAGATAGGTGTGTTTTAGTGGGTGATAGTCAGAACGGGGTCATAACTCTGGCTCTCTGTTGCCTAGATCGAGAGAAAACATGCACCTCATTCAGGTGGTGGCGACAGATGGTGGAGGAGGTTAAAAGGTGAGAAAGAGTGAGAAAGTGAGAGAAAGTGAGATAGTGTGTGTTTTTAGTGGGTGATAGTCAGAACAGGGGTCATAACTCTGGCTCTCTGTTGCGTAGATCGTGAGAAAACCGCAACTACGCTATTCAGGTGGTGGCAACAGATGGTGGAGGGTTAAAAGGTGAGAGAGTGAGAGAAAGTGAAAGTGAGAGAAAAAGTGAGATAGTGTGTGTTTAGTGGGTGATAGTCAGAACAGGGGTCATAACTACGGCTCTCTGTTGTCTAGATCGAGAGAAAACGCACCTACGCTATTCAGGTGGTGGCGACAGATGGTGGAGGTTAAGGTGAGGAGGTGAGAGAAAGTGAGAGAGAAAGTGGGAGAAAGTGAGATAGTGTGTGTTTTTAATTGGGTGATGGTCAGGAGACGGGGTCATAACTCTGGAAACATATTTACCTAGATCGGAAAGAAAAACATAGCGCTCTGGCTATTCAGGTGGTAGCGACAGATGGTGGGAGAGGGATTTAAAAGGTGAGGAAAGTGAGAAAGTGAGAGAAGAGTGAGATAGTGTGTGTTTTTGGCTCAGTGATAGATCAGAACAGATTATGGCTCTGTAGATCGTGAAGGTGGTGGCAGCAGATGGTGGAGGGTTCAAGGTGAGGGAGAGGAGTGAGAGAAAGAGGTAAGAAAGAAACAAGGAGAGAGAAAGTGAGATGGTGTGTGTTTGGTGGGTGATGGTCCCAAACAGGGTCCTGTAACCTCCTGGCTCTCTGTTGTAAATCGAGGAAAGAAAACACTGTTCAGGTGGTGGCGACAGATGGTGGAGGTTAAAGGTAAAGAAGAGTAGAGAGGAAGTAGAGAAAGAAAGAAAAGGAAACTGAGATAGTCATGTTTTTAGTGGGTGATGAGTCCAGAGACAGGGTCGCCAACTACAGCTCCTCTGTTGCGTAGATCGTGAGAAAACGCAACTTCCAGCTATTCAGGTGGTGGCAACAGATGGTGGGGAGTTAAAGGTGAGAGTGAGAGAAAGTGAGAGAAAGTGAGAGAGAGATGAGATGGTGTATGTTTAGTGGGTGATAGTCCAGAACGGGGTCATAACTACCAGCTCTCTCTATTGTCTAGATCGAGGAAAACACCAACGCTACGCTATTCAAAATTAGTAACAGATGGTGGAGGGTTAAAAAGGTGAGGAAAGTGAGAAAATTGAGAGAAAAGTACGAGATAGTGTGTTTTAGTGGAGGTGATAGTCAGAGACAGGGTCATAACTCTGACTCTCTGTTGGTCTAGATCGTGAGAAAAACGCAACGCTACGCTATTCAGGTGGTGGCGACAGATGGTGGAGGGTTAAAAGGTGAGAAGAGAGTGAAGAAAGTAGAGAGAGTGAGATAGTGTGTTTTTAGTGGGTGATAGTCAGAACGGGGTCATAACTACGGCTCTCTGTTGCCTAGATCGAGAAAACGCAACGCTACGCTATTCAGGTGGTGGCGACAGATGGTGGAGGGTTAAAAGGTGAGAGAGAAAGTGAGAGAAAGAGTGAGATAGTGTGTTTTTAGTGGGTGATAGTCAGAACAGGGGTCATAACTACGGCTCTCTGTTGTCTAGATCGAGAAAACGCAACCTACGCTATTCAGGTGGTGGCAACAGATGGTGGAGGTTAAAAGGTAAGAGAGAGAGAGAGAAAGTGAGAAAAAAAGTGAGATAGTGTGTTTTTAGTGGGTGATAGTCAGAACGGGGTCATAACTACGGCTCTCTGTTGCCTAGATCGTGAAAACGCAACGCTACGCTATTCAGGTGGTGGCGACAGATGGTGGAGGGTTAAAAGGTGAGAGAGGTGAGAGAAAGTGAGAGAAAGAGGTAGAGATAGTGTGTTTTGGCGGGTGATGATCAGAACAGGGGTCATAACTACGGCTCTCTGTTGTCTAGATCGTGAGAAAACGCAACGCTACGCTATTCAGGTGGTGGCGACAGATGGTGGAGGGTTAAAGGTGAGAAAGTGAGAGAAGTGAGAGAAAGTGAGATAGTATTTTAGTGGGTGATAGTCAGAGCAGAAGGGTCATAACTCTCTGACTCTCTGTTGTCTAGATCGAGGAAAACACTTAACCTTCGCTATTCAGGCAGTGGCATGGATGGTGGAGGTTAAAAGGTGAGAGAAATTGAGAGAAAGTGAGAGAAAAAAATTGAGATAGTGTGTTTTAGTGGGTGATAGTCAGAACAGGGGGGTCATAACTTCTGACTCTCTGTTGTCTAGATCGAGAGAAACATAGCCTTCACAGCTATTCAGGTGGTGGCAACAGATGGTGGAGGGTTAAAAAAGGTGAGAGAGAGTGAGAGAAAGTGAGAGAGAGAAAGTGAGATGTAGTGTGTTTTTAGTGGGTGATAGTCAGAACAGGGTCATAACTACGTCTCTGTTGTCTAGATCAGTGAAAAACGCAACGCTACGCTATTCAGGTGGTGGCGACAGATGGTGGAGGGTTAAAAGGTGAGGAAAGTGAGAGAGAAAGTGAGAGAGAGTGAGATAGTGTGTTTTAGTGGGTGATAGTCAGAACGGGGTCCTCTTCTACGGCTCTCTACTGTTGTCTAGATCGTGAAAAACGCAACGCTACGCCTATTCAGGTGGTGGCGACAGATGGTGGAGGGTTAAAAAGGTGAGAAGAAAGTGAGAGAGAGAAAGTGAGAGAGAAAGTGAGATAGTGTGTTTTTTAGTGGGTGATAGTCAGAACGGGGTCATAACTACGGCTCTCTGTTGTCTAGATCGAGAGAGAGAGAGAGAGAGAGAGAGAGAGGAGATTTGGATCACAATATAATTTGATACACCACACACACACACACACACACACACACACACACACACACACACACACACACACACACACACAACTCACCCCCTATTACAGGTACAGGAACGGTACTTGTTGAGGTGTCAGATCTGAACGACGTGTCACCAAAGTTCACACAGAGGGTATGGTCGTTAGAGGTGGCTGAGAGTCTGACCCCTGACCACACCTTAGCCACACTCACTGTACTGGATTACGATGTCCGGAATAATTTCACATTTAAGGTAAGTTTGGTTGTTTTTGGCTGTGTTTGGTTGGTTTTTGGGTTGGTTTTGTTTTTTGGTTGTGTTTGCTGGTTGGTTGATTTTTGCTGGTTTTTGGTGTTTGGGTTGTGTTTGGTTGGTTTTTGGTTGGTTTTGTTTGATTGTGTTTGTTGGTTTTGGTTGGTTTTGGTTGTGTTTGGTTGGTTTTTCCCCAGGCCCCAGGCCCCATCACCAGTCCATCCATCCCCATCCTATCCATCCCCAGTCCAACCCCATCCACCCCCATCCCCACTCCACCCATCGGCCCCTGGCCCCACCCCATCATCCCATCATCAGGCCCCATCAGCACCCTCAATTCTATCCCCATCAGGCCCCACTGGCCCATCTCATCATCCCCAAGGCCTCATCATCCCCAATTCTATCCCTCATTCCATCCCATCAAGGCCTCATCATCCTACTGGTCCCAAGGCCTCATCGATCCTCATCGTATCTTCACCTATTCTCACAGGCCCCACTGGTCTCATCCCCACCCATCACATCTCATCAGGCCCATCCCCATCATATCTCAGGCCCTGGTCATCTCATTCATCTTGGAACAGGCCCTACTTCATCTCTAACATGCCCATCTATCTCATTCCACCCTTCGCCCATCTCTCATCAGGCCCAATATCCCCTAAAGGCCCAATATCTCTACTGGTCTCATCATTCCATCATCTTCAAAGGACCCCATCATCTCTCCCAAATGCAACCACCCATCTCATCAGCCCATCAGTCCTACTGCCCACTTCACCCTGCTCTCCATCTGAATCCTAACATCCCAGTCTACGGTCTTCATCGGTCCAGGCATTACCAAGTCCTCCATCATCCCTAAAGGTCTTCAATGGTCCCAATAACTCACCTCATTCATCATTCTCATCATCTCAATGCCCATCGGTCTTGCTGGTTTTGTCCTGTCTCTAACAGGCCTAGTTGCCTTGTCAGGTTTGGTTGGTTTTGCCGGTTTTGGTTGTGTTTTCGGTTTGGGTCAGGTTTGGTTGGTTTTTGGTTGTGTTTGGTTGTGTCGGTTGTTTTGCTGTGTTTTTGTGGTTGGTTCAGTTGTGCTTGTCGGTGTTGGTTTTTTGGGTGTTTGGTTGGTTTTTTGGTCAGGTTTGTCATTGTGCTTTTGATTTGGTTTGTGGTTTTGGTTGGTTTTTGGGTGTTTGGTTGGTTTTGGTTGGTTTTGGTTGTTTTTGGTTGCTGCTTTAGGTTGGTTTTCGGTTGGTTTTTTGTGTTTGGTTTGTTTTTGGTTGGTTTTTGGTTGGTTTTTGGTTGGTTTTTGTCTGGTTTGGTTGGTTTTGGCTGGATCTTGGTTGTGTTTGGTTTTGGGTTGCGTTTTGTCGTGTTTGGTTGGGTTTCAGGTTGGTTTTCGTCGGTTTGTTTGTGTTCTTGTCGGTTTATTGTGCTCTGGTTGTGTGGTTGGTCTTAGCCTAGGTCAAGTATCTGGTCAGGCTCTTATCTGGCTCTGGTCGTTTTTGTCGTTTGGTTGTTGGCTGCTGTTTAGCCCTGTCAGGCTCTTGGTCAGGCTCTGGTTGGTTTGGTTGGTTTTGGTCAGGCTGTTTAGGCCTGTATTGCGCTTGGTTGGTTCAAATGCTGTTGGTTCTGTTGGTCTTGGCTTGGTGTTTGGTTGGGCCTTGGTTGTGTTTGGTTGTGTTTTGTGGTTTTGGTCGATTTTGGTGAGGTCTCGTGGTTTTGGCTCGGTTTTTGTGCCTTTTGGTTTTTTTCGGGCCATTGTGCCTGGTCAGGTTCCTGGTTTTTTCGGCTTGTTTTGGTCTGCTCCTGATCATCTGGTCGGTTTTCCCTGGTCTTCGTGGTTTTGGTCTGGCTCGTTGATGTTTGGTTGTGTGGTTGGTTTTGGCTGTGCTTTGGTTGGTTTTGGTTGGTTTTTGGTTGATTATTTGGTTGGTTTTTTTCCTGGTTGTTGGTTTTGGTTGTGTTTGGTTGGTGTTTGGTTGTGTGGTTGGTTTGGTCAGGTTTGGTTGGTTTGGCTGGTTTTGGTTGATTATTTGGTTGGTTTTTCCTTGGTTTTTCCCTTGGTTTTTGGTTGTGTTTTGGCAGTAATATCATCATGAGTGCCACATACTAACACCAACCTCTCCCCCCCACAGGTAGTGCCAGGCAGGGACGAGGGTGGCACATGTTCGGTGGTCACATGAGAATGGCACTCGAGGAGACCTCAGTGCCAGAGTGCCACTTGATTATGAAAACCTGACCCACAAGAGAGGGTTCAGATTCAGAGTCCAAGTCTCTGATATGGTAGGTTGAGAATCCCTGTGTCATATGTGTCATGTGTGTGTGTCATATGTGCTGTGTGTCATGTGTTGTGTCATATGTGTTGTGTGTCATATGTGCTCTGTGTCATGTGGAGGGGTCATATGTTGTGTCATATGCTGTGTGTATATGTGTACCTTCTGTCATGTGCTGTGCCATATGTGTACCTCCTGTCATGTGCTGTGTCATATGTGTACCTTCTGTCATGTGCTGTGTCATATGTGTACCTTCTGTCATGTGCTATGTCATATGTGTACCTTCTGTCATGTGCTGTGTCATATGTGTACCATCTGTCATGTGCTGTGTACAGTCATATGTGCCTTCTGCCCATGGGGCCAGGTCATATGTGGTACTTTCTGTCATGTGCCAGGTCATATGTGTATCTTTCTGTCATGTGTTGTGTCATATGTGTACCTTTCTGTCATGTGTTGTGTCATATGTAAACCCTTGTCATGTGTTGTGGGTCATATGTGTGTACCTTCTGTCATGTGCTGGGGTCATATGTGTACTCCTCTGAACAAAGTGTGCCAGTCATGTGCACCTCTGTCAGTGTGTGCTGTATATGTAAAAATTTCCGGTCATGTGTCAGTCATGTGTACCTCTGTCATGTGCTGTGTTATATGTGTGTACCTTCTGCCTATGTGTCAGGGGTCATATGTGTACCCTCTTATTAAGTGTGGCCAGGCTTATATGTGGGCACCTTCCATGCAGTTGTGGCCATGTGTAATCTTCTGTCATGTGCTAGCCAGTGTGCATTCTCTGTCAAAGGGTCATATGTGTACCCTCTGTCATGTGCTGTGTTATATGTGTACCTTCTGTCATGTGTTGTGTCATATGTGGCACCTTCTGTCATGTGCTGTGTCATATGTGTACCTTCTGTCATGTGTCAGGTCATATGTGTACTCCTTCTAATAAGTGTGTCAGGGTCATATGTGTACCTCTGTCATGTGCTGTGTTATATAAATTCTTCTGGTCATGCCAGTCATGTGTACCCTTCTGTCATGTGCTGTGTCATCATATGTGTAATTCCTCTGTCATGTGCTGGTAAGTTATATGTGTACCTTCTGTCATGTAAGCCAAAATATATGTGTACCTTCTGTCATAAAAAGGCTGTGTCATATGTGTGCCTCTGTCATGTGTCAGGCCATGTGTACCTCTCTAGTCATGTGCTGTGTGGGGTCATATGTGTACCTTCTGTCATGTGCTGTTATATGTGTAAATTTTCTGCTCATGTGTTGTGTCATATGTGTGTACCTTCTGTCATGTACAGTCATATAAAATTCTTCTGTCATGTGTTGTGGTTATATGTGTACCTTCTGTCATGTGTTGTGTCATATGTGGGTACCTTCTGTCATGTGTTGTAAATATACAGTCTTCTTGTCAAAGTTGTAAATACATGTGTAATTCTCTCTGTCAGTGCTCAGTATGCAATCTTTCTGTCATGTGCCAGGTTATATGTGCACCTTCTGTCATGTGCTGTGTTATATGTGTACCTTCTGGTCATGTGCTGTGTCATATATGTGGCACCTTCTGTCATGTGTTGTGTCATATGTGGGCACCTTCTCTGTCATGTGCTGTGTCATATGTGCACCTTCTGTCATGTGCTGTGTCATATAAAATTTCTGTCATGTGCTGTGTCATATGTGTACCTTCTGTCATGTGCTGTGTTATATGTGTATCTTCTGTCATGTGTTGTGTCATATGTGGCCTTTTCTGTCATGTGTTGTGTCATATGTGTACCTTCTGTCATGTGCCAGGTCATAGTGTACCCATCTGTCATGTGTTGTGTCATATGTGCACCATCTGTCATGTGTTGTGTCATATGTGTACCTTTCTGTCATGTGCTGTGTCATATGTGTACCTCTGTCATGTGCTGTGTCATGTGTACCTTCTAACATACAAAATAAAGTGTACCTCTATCATGCTGTGTCATAAATAATCTTATCATGTGTTGTGTCATAAGTGTGTACCCTTCTGGTCATGTGTTGTGTTATATGTGTAATTTTCTGTCATGTGCTGTGTTATATGTGCACCTTCTGGTCATGTGCTGTGTTATATGTGTACCTTCTGTCATGGTGTTATATGTGTATCTTCTGTCATGTGTCAGGTCATATAAAATTCTTTCTGTCATGTAGCTGTGTATATATGTGTACCTTCTCTGCCTGTGTGCTGTGTTATATGTGTACCTTCTGTCATGTGCTGGGGTTATATGTGTACCTTCTGTCATGTGTTGTGTTATATGTGTATCTTCATTAAATGTCAGTCATAGGTACCTTCTGTCATAAAAGTTGTGGGTCATATGTGTACCTTCTGTCATGTGTCAGTCATATGTGCACCTTCTCTGTCATGTGCCAGGTTATATGTGTACCTTCTGTCAAGTGTGCTGTGGCAGTGTGTACCTTCTGTCATGTACTCACGGTTATATGCACCTTCTGTCATGTGCTGTGTCACATGTGTGTACCTTCTGTCATGTGCTGCTGTGCTCATATGTATCTTCTGTCATGTCAGGGGTCATATGTGTACCTTCTTGTCATGTGCTGTGTTATATGTGCACCTTCTGTCATGTGCTGTGTCATGTGTGTACCTTCCTTGTCATGTGCTGTGTTATATGTGGGTATCTTCTGTCATGTGTTGTGGGGTCATATGTGTGTACCTTCTGTCATGGTATGTTATATGTGCACTTGTCATGTGCCAGTCATATGTGTAATTTTCTTGTCACACATAGTTATATGTGTACTCTCTGGTCGTGTGCTGTGTCATATGTGTATCTTCTGTCATGTGCTGGGGTCGGTGGCGTGTATCTTCTTCTTGTCATATGTGCTGTGGCCTATATGTGTGTGTACCTTCTGTCATGTGCTGAAGTTTATATGTGTGTACCTTTCTGGTCATGTGCTGCCAGTCATATGTGCACCTTCTGTCATGTGCTGTGTTGAGAAGGGGTAATTCTCTGTCATAAAAGGCTGTGTTATATGTGTACCTTCTGGTCATGTGCTGCTGTGTCATATGTGTACCGTCTGTCACATGTGGGGTTATATGTGTATCTTCTCTGTCATGTGCTGTGTTATATGTGTACCTTCTGTCATGTGTTGTGGCTCATATGTGTACCTTCTGGTCATGTGCTGTGTCACATGTGTACCTTCTCTGTCATGTACAGTCAAGGTGTACCCTTCTGGTCATGCGTGCTGTGTTATATGTGCACCTTCTGTCATGTGTTGTAACATGTGTACCTCTGTCATGTGTTGTCAGTCATATGTGTAATCTTCTGTCATGTACAGCCCATATGTACCTCTGTTATGTACAGTCATATGACACCTTCTGTCATGTAGTCAGGTCATATAAAATTTTGGCCTATGCTGTGTCATATGTGTACCTTCTGTCAGGCCAGGTCATATGTGAACCTCTATTCATGTGTGCCAGGTCATATGTGCACCTTCTGTCATGTGTTGTAACATATGTGCACCTTCTGTCATGCCAGGTCATATGTGTATTCTGGTCATGTGCTGGCCTATAGGTGTACCTCTGTCACAGCCAGTCATAGACCTTCATCATGTGCTGTGTCATATGTGGAAATCTCTGTTATGTGTGGGTCATATGTGTACCTTCTGTCATGCAAAGGGTCATATGTGGGGTACCATCCGTCATGTGTTGTGTCATATGTACCTTCTGTCATGTGCTGGGTCATATGTGTATCTTCTGTCATGTGGCTGTGGTCATATGTGTACCTTCTGTCATGTGCTGTGTCATATGTGGCACCTTCTGTCAAGTGTGCTGTGCCTGGCACCTTTCTGTCATGTGCTGGTGTTATATGTGGCACTCTCCTTGTCATGGGCCAGGGTCAAGGAGTGCACCTTCTGGTCATGGGTTGTGTCTGCAGGGCACCTCTGGTCATGCAGTTGTGGGGTCATATGTACCTCTGTCATGTGCGTTGTGTCATATGTGTACCATCCGTCATGTGTCAGCCCATATGTGTACCTTTCAGTCTATGTGTTGGTCATATGTACCTTCTGTCATGTGTTGTAGGGTCATATGTGTACCTCTGTCATGTGCTGTACATATGTGCAATCTTCTGGTCATGGGCCAGGGTCATATGTGTACTGTCATGTGCTGTGTCATATGTGGCATCTCTTCTGTCATGTGGCCAGGCCATATGTGCACCTTCTGGTCATGTGCTGTGTCATATGTGCACCTTCTGTCATGTGCCAGTCATATGTGTGTACCTCTGGTCATGTGCTGTGTCATATGTGCATCTTCTGTCATGTGCTGTGTCATATGTACCTTCTGTCATGTATGCTGTGTTATATGTACCTTCTGTCATGTGCTGTGTCATATGTGTACCTTCTGTCATGTGTCAGGTTATATGTGCACCTTCTGGTCATGTGCTGTGGGTCATATGTGCACCTCTGTCATGTGTGTCAGTCATATGTGTATCTTCTGTCATGTGCTGTGTTATATGTGTACTTTCTGTCATGTGTCAGTCATGCGTGCACCTTCTGTCATGTGTCAGGTCATATGTGTACCTTCCCCAGTCATGCTGAAGTTATATGTGTACCTTTCCACGTGTGGCCAGGTTAAGGCGGCATCTTCTGGTCATGTGCTGTGTCATATGTGTAATCTTCTGTCATGTGCTGTCATATGTGTACCTTCTGTCATGTACAGTCATATGTGCACCTCTTCTGTCATGTGCTGTGTCATATGTGTACCTTTCTGTCATGTGCTGTGTTATATGTGCATCTTTCTGTCATGTGCTGTGTCATATGTGTACCTTCTGTCATGTGCTGCTGTGTCATATGTGTACCTTCTGTCATGTGCTGTGTTATATGTGTATCTTCTGTCATGTGTTGTGTCATATGTGTACCCTTCTGTCATGTGCTGTCATATGTGTACCTTCT